CCAAGTGGGCGTGGCCAGCATTTTCCCTACAACAGGGTTTCTCTATGTAGCCCCGACTGTCCTGGAACTTACTCTGTAGACCAGGCTATCCTCAAACTCCGTGGTCTACCTGCCTCTGCCTCTGCCTCCCAAATGAAGGCACCTCTTGCTCTTTCCCATGTTTTCAGACTTCTTTTCTTATTTCCAGATGCAACTCTCAGTAATCATCAGACTTTGAATACCCTTGAAGACTCACCATCATTGATGTGGATTGCCTCTGGAACAATGTGGCAAGACAAGTGAATGTCTAGGACTGTTGGTTGCAACTTGCCAATTCATTATGAACATGTGACATATATGTACACCACCCTACAAAGTCCTCACTTGACCTTCCCCTCTCTTTTTCTTTTTCTCATGATTTGGGCAAGGACTCAGATGAGAACCAACAACAGCTACAATTGTTTCTCACTCTCAGTCAATTCTAGGAGTAAGCTTCCTTGGGCTTGGTGACATGGCTTGGGTAGGAGGACTTTCCTAGGAGTGCAAAGGCTGAAGGAATTGAGAGCCTCGGATCTGATGGTGGCCGTGGATGTGATAATATGACACTCAGCGTGCTGCTATCGAACAGGGGTCTCCGATGTGTATGCGAAAAACTTAAGTAGCTGGAGAAAAGCTGGAGGGATCTTTCTGTTGGGAGGAAAAGCCAAATGAGGAGCCCATAAGTGATCAGAAGAGAGGCTCTAGGAAGGGCATGGGTAGGAAAGCAGGCAGGACATGGAAACAGGAGTAAGGAAAGGACCTTCTTGAATGGTCTTGAATACTACTCAAATCTTGTAAAATGAACTTTATCACATTCTGAACTAAGTATCCTATTATCAATATGTGACATATATCTTACATAGTTTCCACTGATGCAAGTATAATGGAATAGGGCCCACTTGTAACCCTAGTGAATAACAATTTGGCTTAGGATCATTTTGTCATTTTTGTTCTCAGATTTTTTTTTTTATTTTCTGATGCTCCCTGGAACACTAGGAGGATAGTTTTTTCTTGTTGTTGTTGGTTCTTTTTTTTTTTTTTTTTTTTGTTTTGGTTTTTTTTTTTTTTTTTTTTTTTTGGCTTTCTGGACTTTGACTAATATGAGATAATAAATCATCACTCTGAAAACATGGTGAAATCTTTGTGCAGAACAATAGTTAGGATTCTGAAAGCCAGTTTGCTAGTGACATGTTGTCTATCTTCATTGGACCATACACCACCGAGAGCCATCGATCATTACAAAGGGAACATACCAGTTATTCCATTGATACTGACATTTCCGTGACTGTGAGTATAGAACAGGAATGCAAGAGTGAGGTTTGGACAATGGATATTTGTTTCTGAGGTGAATATTATCAAAATTGAAGGAGTGTGATAATTTATTTATTCATGGAATTTTTCACTTTGAAAGGAGAATGAAAAGACAGGTAGTCACAGGGTGGGCTTATGAGTGGATGAAGAGACAGAGCCAGGCCTAACATTCTGTGCATTAGATATACTTATTCTGCTGGGCATTGGTGGTTCACGCCTTTAATCCCAGCACTTGGGAGGCAGAAGCAGGAGGATCTCTGTGAGTTCAAGGCCTGCCTGTTCTACAGAGCAAGTTCCAGGACAACCTCCAAAACAATACGGAGAAATCCTGTCTCAGAAGAACAAACAAAACAAAACAAAAAAAGATATACTTATTCTGTATTAGGTATTTGGGGCTCATTTTCAGGCTTTTTTTAATCTGCAGAACTGGGGGATTCTTCTATTAGTTTTTAAAAACTGGGTTTATTTTGAGGACTTGATTTAAGGCCAATTTATGTAAAGATGAAAAAGAATACAAATAAGATTGAATGCCTTGGCAATTCAAAATCAGGTCATTCCTTTACAATGCATTATCCCCTGCAAGACTTTGGGCTAGCAAATCATCAGACAACTTAATGTGGTCCTGTACGTAGTGTAAGAATCATGTGGACTCAGCACTGGTGTCTAGCCCTTTCAGTGTTTATCTTAGAAGGTTTAATGAGGCTCAGAAACATGTATGAAAAAATAAATGCATTTTGCTTGGTTTGGAAGCAGGTGCTGTACTGTCTGTCACTGGAGAGACACACAGACACAAAACATTTCTCTGCCCTGGGGTCTGCTTACACATATTGTTCCAGTTAGGACATACACATAAGCATGACCTAATTGATACTGGTGATTAAACCCTGGTGATGACTGAGGCAAGTCAGAAAGCACACATGAAAGACTTAACTCTCATTTTAAATTCAATGTTTTATGGGAAATAAGAATCCAACATTGCCAAATGCCTTGATTTTTCAACAGACACCAGAAAGCTCGAATTCTATCTATGTAAATGCACCTGAAATTGATGTGTTGATATATAATTAAAATTACTATAATGGAGATAAGGCATGAATGTTGGGCTTAGTTACCCACCTTCTTATTTAATCTAGCTAGTATAATGATGGGAAGCAAGAACTCTCATTTTAAATTCAATGTTTTATGGGAAATAAGAATCCAACATTGCCAAATGCCTTGATTTTTCAACAGACACCAGAAAGCTCGAATTCTATCTATGTAAATGCACCTGAAATTGATGTGTTGATATATAATTAAAATTACTATAATGGAGATAAGGCATGAATGTTGGGCTTAGTCACCCACCTTCTTATTTAATCTAGCTAGTGTAATGATGGGAAGCAAGATGACTGGGATGGTACAGGGTGTGTTCTGATGCTGTTTGGAAAAGATGTCTTCAGTCTTTCAGAAGTATTTAAACTTCTTTTATAAGCTGTATCAGGAGCAAAACACAAAACTGTTTGTCATACTAACAACTGTGGTGCAAAGACAGGGTGACATTGGCCTAGGTCGAGAGGATCTGTTATGCTCATTTCCTTGGAGGTCCTTGGAGGGCTCATTTTCAGATCTGGGTGGCCACCTGTTGCCAACAGTTTCTTTAGAATATGGTGGGTAACAGAGACAACTAACCTGAACATCCTGGAACTCTTGCTCTCCAGACTGATAGCTGCAATACCAGCATGGGACTGATCCAGACCCTAGGAACATGGGTTTCAGTGAGGAAACCTAGGTCCAGGGGGAGCAGAAAGGATATGTGATAGGTAGGGTTTTAGTTGGGGGGTGGTGGTATGGGAAGAATGGGAGGAAGAAGGGAACTGGGGTTGTCATGTAAAACAATCTTGTTTCTAATTCAAATTAAAAAAAAATCTGAAAAAAAATCTATGGTGGGTAGGAGGTTGGGCAGAGCATGAGGACTTGGACCTTGTAGACAAGGCCAAGAGTAGAACACATCAACCACACAGTCCTCCTAGATTTCCTCAGCAGTAATAATGACTCAGGCAGCTTAACGACTTAAGTGAAGGAAATTAAACTATAGACAACAAGAGAACTGGAGCCTGAGTGGTGTGGGATGTGACTTTTGGAACCAGAGTTCAACTCAACACTGGCAGATTTAAAATGGCAATTTTAAGCTGAATTGGAGGGCAGAGAACTTAGATGTGTCTTGAGAAGTCAGAGTTCTCACCCAAAATATCATTGTGTCTCTTCTGGGGTTCACGAGATCTGAAGCTTTCTTCCAACACCTATCTTCTCTCCTTGTTCTCTTGTGCTGACACTGGCTAATAAAGTCAGTGTAGCCAAAGGCTGACGGAGCCCAAATAAGAGCTCCTTCCTTGAGCATAGGAGTTTGGAATGGTTGTTGAAGGTGATTGTATCTCCTTGTTCTCTTGTGCTGACACTGGCTAATAAAGTCAGTGTAGCCAAAAGCTGACGGAGCCCAAATAAGAGCTCCTTCCTTGAGCATAGGAATTTGGAATGGTTGTTGAAGGTGATTGTATGCTAACATTGAGGAGCTTCCCTTTGGCAGCTGAGGCAGGTCCATTGACTCCGCTACAGCCAAGGTTGGATGAACATGTAGAAACAGGCTGCTGGGCAAAATGTGTCAGTCAGTCCCAAGCCTCACTAATCATTAGTCACAGTTTCAGTAAGAGAGACTCACTATGAGGACAAACACATGCTGCAGCTATAATCAATCCTGAGACTTGGGGACCTTAGCACTCAAGACTGTTTCTCCCTGACACGATATGAGCTGTGAGGTCACAAGGGAGGAGTGCAACATCTGGCTCAGTGTGGTTACCTGGAGACAAGGGATGATTTAGGCTCTTTCCTCGTGTGCTTTGAAGATCTCTATTTCAGGGTAAGGATGAGGCACAGCCACTCATTGGCTTTTAAGCCTCTACCTAAACTGACTTTGGTTAGTGAGAGGCTCATATGTCCCATTTCTGTGCTTACAGCAAATCACATGTCTATGCTAACTCCTAGAGAGGCAGCAAAATACAATCCCACCACAAGTTTATGGAGTACAGAAATAGCAGATGTGTGGATGACCACCACAGCCATCAAGATTCTGGTGCATATTTCCCCCGAATCATTCTAATATCTTATATTTAGAAATCTTCAATGTGTTTAATCCATCTTTAGAGGATCCTCCAAGCAGAGGCTTGGGTCCCTCTCTAGTTTTTGATAAGGCATTAAATGGATAGAGTATGGATGGTTTGATAGCTATCCAATAAACCAGGCACAAGCAACTCGATCACTTCTCATGTGCTCATGCTGGCCCTTCCCTTGCTAAATAGCTGCAGATGATTTTAAACTTTCCATTCTCCCATTCTATCCAATAAACCAGGCACAAGCAACTCGATCACTTCTCATGTGCTCATACTGGCCCTGCCCTTGCTGAATAGCTGCAGATGATTTTAAACTTTCCATTCTCCCATCTCCACCTCCTGAGTGTTGGGATTGCAGGTGTCACTGCCATATCTGGTTCATGCAATGCTGAGAGGACTGAACCCAGGCTTTTGTGCATGCCAGGCAAGCACTCTACCAACCCAGCTCACAAAAGGAAATCAAGTGCAAAGTAACTGTATTTTTATTTATATTAACAACAGCAAAATACTTTTATAATTTCACACACCATTGCTTTTAGAAGCACATATATTACAAATAAAGGAACTCCACAAACTTTAAAGATTAGTATTTATCAACACTTTTTTACACATACACAAATATTTTAATATAACATCTGAAATGTTATTCATATAATTTTAGTACTTTCATAAGTAATAACTAAAAACATTCTTTGAAATTTGATAAAAACCATATATTTTACAATTTTCTATTTACATCTGAAATATGCTTAAATGTTACAAAAACATTCACTTCAACCTTTAAAATGTGTGTACTAGGACCTGGAATTGAACAAATTATACCCAAGAGCAAACTCAGTTTGCTTTGAAGCTGCACATTCACTGGAATTTCAGGACAAATGTTCAGTGTGGTTTGATCAATACCACTCAGAAGAAACAAAGGAATCAGAGGAAATGTGCAAATTCAGAGGCTGGCAAAATTCTCAAGCTAGCGAGGTAAACAGAAATATTAACACTGTAAAAACTTCAAATAAATTAAATCTATCTTGTTCTTCCCCGAGATTAGCTGCAAAAATTCAGAGAGTTCTCTGAGAGGTGCGTCCAAAGCCCCAGGGCTCCTCTCAAACTTCAGCACTGGGTGAGATGGAGACCATAGGCACAGCTGGGGTCACCTTGCTAGTTACACGTGTGTAGGGTCGCTCCACTCCGCGCTTTGCTGGGTCGTCCCTGCCCGTAATCTTAAAGCAAGACAGACACAACACATGCATACAAAATGAACAGAGATCAATTTTCATTTCCTCAAACACAGAGTTAAAACCCCAAATAGTGACTCATTCCCAATGGGGTGTTAGTAAGTTTAGAAAATAATCCTAGTCAAAGTAGTTCTGAAGGATATTTCTTTGAAGCTCATATGCTGGTTGCCATGGCGATGTTGAAAGTAGTTTCACTATATCCTTTGACTGTCACATAAGAATGTATAAATGTTTAAGTGGCTACAAATGTATTTGAGTAATTCTGGTGTCTCATTCTAGTCTAAAAATTTATAGTTTATATTGCTAACATCTACCCTAAAGGGGAAAACATTGGAAAACTCCTTTAAATGTTTGCACTAATGGGAGTATAATAAATATCAATCTGACTTATCTGAAAATAATATCAATATGTCTAGGTGATACTTGTCAGCTCTATTACAATGACCATATGCTAATAGTAATCACAGCCCCACAGAAACTGCTGGTGTATCTCTGAAGTCTATCTTTGTACAAAGAGATTTGATGAATATTTTAAGTTTCTAGTAATGATTTCTTCATTAGCCTCACACACTATCACATTGTGCCAATTTATATCTGTGTGATATTAGCTTCACCTCTCATCCAAGAGCTTTTCTACCACAGAGCACTTGGCATTTGTGGGCACATGCTTGCAGCACATCATCCTTGAGGCCAGTGTTATGAGATCCTGCATAAATAATTTGGCCCTTTATGTGTTTAAAGTCTGAGTGTCTAACAGCAAGATGCTCTCACATCTCACTTTCTTGGCCTCAGAACAAAATGGCTCCAGTCCCATCTCTATGTTTTAAGTTGGATACTCATGACCACAGCTGACTTCAGTCTGCCGCCATTCTCACTCCGTTGAAACACACTCCAAAAGAGCATCTTATATTTATACTTCATTTGCATGCTTGTATGAATTCCATTGGACCCAGCCAAAAAAAGCTCTTTATGGCTTTGGATTTTTGGCTGTTTATGAAACAGTGTGAAATTCTGGCTGCCTATTAAAGAACTGGTTTGCCTGTCACTACCAATTCAAATTAACTTGTTTTCCACATCTCCATTTTACATACTAGCATCGTTCTATCTTGGTTCTGTTTCCCCCCTTTCCTTTTAAAATGCGTGGGTACATGTATGTGCAGGGGTGCATACATGCCACAGGGTGCACGTGGAAGCCAGAAGGCAGCCTGTGGAAGTAGGCTGTCCCTCTCCCACCCCCCCCCCCCCCCCCTCTCTCTCTCTCTCTCTCTCTCTCTCTCTCTCTCTCTCTCTCTCTCTCTCTCTCTTCTTTTTCTTTTCTTTTCTTTCTTTTTTTCTTTTACTGTGTGGGTCCCAGTGGGTGAATTCAGTCATCAGGCTTGGGGGCAAAAGACTTCATCCAGTGAGTCATCTCACTGGCCTCTCCCGGTATCTATTTCCTTTTTTGAGAAAGGATGACATGTATCCCAGACTGGTCTGAAGCTTGTTATAAAGTTGCCGATGATCCAGAACTATTGTGCTCCTGTCCTATTAAGTGTTGAGATTATAGCTGTGTGCTATATGCATCGCTCTTTTCCTCTTGCATTGTTTCCCTCTAAACACATGCTTTAAAAAATATATTATTTAAGCTTAGACTTTCTTGACTCTATGGGGGGAATGCCTATGGCATAATTAATTCCATGTCTATTGATTCTCATTGTTTGTGATTTTCAGAGCTCAGCTGGTCACTTCTCTCACTGCTTAGTTACCTGTGTACCTGCTTCTGGAGTCTGCACATTTACATTCAGACAAAGGAAGATATTCTCTCATCTGGTCACCTATGTGACCAGGCCCCGTTATAAGCTCAGGACCGGCAGAAAAGTCACCTCTCTTTGCAACAGATTTATTCCTTTTACTGAATAATGAGACTGGTGAAACCCATCAGGTTTTTCTCTTTGATCGGTTTCCAGGAAGCAGAGGGCCAAAGTTTACTTCTTTTGTTGAAGGTTTCCTTTACCAAAAAAAAAAAAAAAGATTTTTCTCCTCTCTTCACCACCTGGTCTTTGTATCTTTGTTTTATATTTTGAAGTATCACAGAAATCCTTCAGTTCTGTATATTTAAAAATGAAGGAGCTCAAATATATTTAGAAGGCAAAGGAGCACATGTTTTCTTTTTCAAAGCTAAGCTGTTAATATGACTGTCTTTCTGTGACAATGGAGACTTAGAAAAGCTGAGCCACAAAAGCTGACGGGGGCAAAGGATGGATGAAGAAGAGGTGGATGGACAGAAGGCTGCAGGACAGGATAGATGGACAGGGAGAAGAACATACCACTTTTGCTCACAGTACTGAGGGAAATGCTAGACACAGAGGAGCAGAAGCTGTAGAGACACGGACCTCGACAGAGCTGCCAGGAAAAAAAGAGAGAAACATTTCTGCCAGATCTTTCAAGGCCAGACATGATTTAAAGTGAGAGACTAGTCTGCTTCACCATGGTTCCCTGTGTTTGCTTGCATTCTCTTCATTTTAACCCCAGATTTAACCCCAGGTTCTCAAGGCACCTCCAGAGTATTTAATTACTGCCACCCTTCAGAAATCTCAGACTAACATGATCTTTGTTGAGAATCCTATTTATGGAGATTCATTCTTTCCAACATAAGTCAACCTGCCATTTCCTCCTCCTTAAGCTACTACGGAGAGCTAAAAAGGTGGGTGGAAGAAGCCAGGAATGAAGGGATGCATGCTACATGCAATTAAAATAACAGTTCCAGTCTTTGCCATGCTCCGTGGTGATGACACTAGATAATTACGGAGAGGAGAGGGAACTGATATGAAACCAGCAGTAACATATTACTGGAAAGGCTACAGGTGGTGCGGTACCCAAGTAGAGTGTGAGGGGAGGAGTATATATATATAAATATATATATATATATATAATAAAAATTATATATATAGTTTTTTTCTCCTGATTGTGCACCTCTGTAGGAGGCCCAGCTTCTGCCAAGGAAGCTTGAGGTAGAAGGCCCATGCGAAACCCAGAGGTTCTCTCTGAGCATGGTGCAGAAACCCCTACTGGCAAAATGTGAAATGCCATAGCATATTCCAGGTATTGTGAGGTCCTCAATGAAATGATGGAGTGGCAGCAGGCCTTAATGGGGATTCCCACCTTGTCCTTCTCAGCATCTAACCAGACCTTCATATTCTAGAGTCAACAGACTGTATGGCTTGGGTAGATACCTCTAAAAATTGTGGAAAGCGTTTCAGCTCTCCTATTCTTTTTCTGTGGGTGTTTCTATGCTTTGAGCCAAGAGCTGTTGGACACGGGGAAGAGAACAACTCAACATCTTAGTGCTGATGCAAAGAATAGTGACTTCTGCAGTAAGGAGTCTTCAGTCCATCTAGCAATGGCCAGAGACTCCATGGGATGCTCACCTGCTCATTCATGATGGCGGACAGTTCACTAAGCATGTCTTTATAGTGGGACCTCAGTTCTTCCTGGTACTCCAGCTGGTCTTCCTTGATGAGGCGCTCATTCACATCAAGGGCCTGCCCACATGCATCTGCAAATTGCCTTTAATGACAGCATTAGGCAAATTAAAAGCCGGTCACAGGAAGAGGTGTTGAGTTTAGTGACGCTGGGTCCAATGCTGACTATGGATAGATTATCACCTTGAAGAGGGTTAACTAAGCGGCTTTCCTTGGAAGAGGGGGTTCATGCCTCTCTGAGATAGTTAGAAGAATACTTCAACGAAGAGACTCTTACCTGAATATTTCTTTCAGTAGCTTTACTTGGTTGTCGGGGTATTTCTTTGCATTAGTCTCTTCAAGAAAGGCTCGGGCATAAGCCATTGGCCCAGCATTGACCTATGGGGAGAAGAGATTGGGCTAAGGCTGGCTCCTTCCCTTTATGGAGCCTGCTCCATGGTAAGGGGAGGTCCAGTTCTCTGACCAATCACATGGCACCCTGGCACTCTCCCACCTTATTGTGATGCCACCACTTTCTATCCTTGATGTACCTGCTGTTTTTTTAAGGGTCAGCAGCCACCAAGAGGTACACTGGAGTCCAGCCTTTCCTGCCCCTCTTGCCAAGTTCAGTCATGTGACATCCGATAATGAGGCCATTCCCTCTGAATTGAAATGTCCTCATCCCCAAGGAAGAGGGCAGCTAGCATGTGAGAGTCAGGAAATAAACAAAGCCTTGGACCGTCCCTGAAAAGATTCATTAAGATGCTTCCCCCAGGTTATACATAAGCACAAGGAAGAAAGAGACGTGCCAGCCTGTGCAGCTGCCTGCAAGTTGAGCAGAGAGCTCCAGGGATACGGCTTTTGTGAGTTGTCAGCTGTGTTGGGGGCATTCAGTGCCTCTGTGTGTGAGTCATCCCTGCTTCTCTAAGTAATTCCTCACCCACACTCAGTAAGTCATCCAAAGAAACGTACTGGTTCACTAAGCTGGACTTTGCTAGAATCACCACTGGCTTTGTCATGGGCTCCCTGTCTGGATGAGCAGATGTCTTGCACACGCCTCACCAGGAAAAGGCGTAACACATGGTCCCTCTTGTCTTTTGTCATCTTCACACAGGGCTTGAGCACCCTTTCCATAACAACTTCGAAAACCAGACTCCTTCATTGTAAACACTTGCACTGAATCTAAATTTAGTGTTTGTGCCCATTGGTTTTCTTTTCTATTAGCTCTAAAAGAAACACATAATTGTTATGAAAAGACATCCCACAGAGGTAGTGGCTGTGCATTGCCCTGGCACTCTATGCTCCACTTGAAAGCCTTGCTGAGGTCTGGGCCAAGGAAGCATTCATCCAAGTTGCTGAATGAAAGTACAACTGAGCTGTTTGCTGTTGAGTTTTTATTTTTTGCAGTTCTGGAGGCTGATCAGAACCACATACACATACACATACGCATACACACACACACACACACACACACACACACACACACACACACACACACACACACTACCACTGAGCCACTGAGATACACCCCCAGCTCTACCATGCCAGCTTCTATTCCCACTCACTCACTTGAGCTTATGCTAGTGAAGGAACTCACTTCTCTAGTGCATACAACCAGTTGGTGTGGCTATGGTGTTTGGGAAGTATGAAAGTTAGCTTTAGTTTTCAGCCTGACACAGCCTGGAATCATTGAGGAAAGGGTCTCAGCGAGGGATTGCCTCCATTGGGTTGGCCCATGGGCATGACTGTCAGGGGTTGACTTCCATAAGTTAATTGGCATGGGAAGACTCAGCCTACAGTGGGCAGCTTGGTTCTCTAGGCAGGAGTTCCTGACATGCATGAGGGTGGAGAAATCAAGCTGAGCAAGTGTGCAAGTGAGCAAGTGTGCAAGTGCGGGTTCATGTCTCTCTGCTCTTGACTGTAGATAGGATGTGACTAGCTATCTGAGGCTTCCACCTTGAGTTTTCAAAATGGTGGACTATCACCGGAATTGTAAGCTGGGTGTTTCAGCACAGCAGCAGAAATGAAACCGTGACAGGCTGGGAGCTAAGGCTGCATCTGAGTCAGGTGGGCCTCTTAGTGCAGTGGGCACAACCATGGTGCTACACTCGTCTTTGGTTCTCCAGGCCTATCCTCCACTCAGCTCTGTGCCCAGGCCTGCCAACCTCTCCTGACTTCTTGTTTATAGTATGTCTGTATCTATTTTAGTCTTTTTGAGGCAGCCAGTGGGGACACAGACAAGAGAGACAGACAAGATGTGAGCATTTTAGGATCAACATCCATGATTTTTTTTCCCCATCTGTTACAGATGAAACAGGCCAAAAAGAAGAAAGCAGGGAAAGACATTGCTACTCATCTGCTTAGGACTCTATATTTCTGTCTTTTTTCTCTTTAAATTTTTAAAATTTTTTGGCATATTTATTGTATTTATTTATTGTGTGCACCTCTCTCTCCTCTCTCCTCTCTCTCTCTCTCTCTCTCTCTCTCTCCTCTCCTCCTTTTTGTGTGTGTGTGTGTGTGTGTGTGTGTGTGTGTGTGTCTAGCTAGCACAAGTGCCATGATGCACATATGGAGGTCAGAGGATAACTTGTGGGGGTCAGTTATCTTCCACGCTGTATGCTACAGAGATCAAACTCAGGTCTTCAGAGTTGGCAGCAAGTGCCTTTACCCAATGAGTCATTTTACAGCACCCCCCATGGATGTTTGAATGTGTGTCTCTGTGCACAGGCAAAGGCCAGAGGAGACCATCAGGTGTCTCACCCTCTGCCTTATTCCCCTGAGAAGGGTCTCTCACTAAACCTAGATCTAAGCTGATAACAAGCAAGCTCCAGAATGCCTCCATCTCCATCTCTTAGCCCCTGACTCTGCGGTTACAGGTGTGCATGCAACCACACCAAGAATTTCTTTGTTTTTTGATTCTGGATATTTGATTGCAGGTCCTCAAGTTTGCACGACAAACGCCCTTATTTACTGAGCCATCTTCTCGGGCCTGAGACATTAATACTTAGTTCAGTATTGGCTTTTCACATTAATTTTGACTTTTAAAAATAGTATACTAAGATACCATTTTATGTTAATTACTGATTAAACTCTGTTCCCATGATGAGACTCTTACCTCCCTCACCTCCTCCTCACAGTGTGGGGCAGGATGGAATACATTCCCAGCATCCTCCTCAGAGTATTCCAGGAGAGACCATGCCTGTCCCATTATTAGTGACCCCCTCACTTGCTTTGTTCCCACCAACCCCCCTATGCTAGCATCTTTACTTTTAGGGGTCTATGTTCGGCCGAGTGTGGCTAGCACCTATACAAGTCCCTGGTTTTCCTCAGTGGTTCCCATACTTCGTTTTATTCTTTCCCATCACCCACTGTTCATTCCGTACGCTTTCTGATGCTTTCTGTCACAGCTCTCACAGCCCATAAATGCTAAAATACCTCCCTGGGGAGCAGAAAGGGAATAGGATAGTGGGTTGGTGGGGGACAGGGGAGGAGGGTGAAAAAAGGAATGTTTAGCAGTTAAAAAATGGTATTTTACATGTCAATCCCAGTTCTCTCTCCTTCCACTCTTCCCCTGCCCCCCATGGACACCCTATCCCATCCCCTTTCTGCTCCCCAGGGAGGGTGAAACCTTCCATGGGGGATCTTCAAAGTCTGTCATATCATTTGGAGCAAGACCTAGCACACCCCCCCCCCCCCGTGTCTAGATTGACAGAGTATCCCTCTATGTGGAATGGGCTCCCAAAGTCCATTTGTACGCTAGGGATAAATACTGATCCACTACCAGAGGCCCCAATAGATTGCCCAGGCCTCCTAACTGACACCCACGTTCAGGGGGTCTGGGTCGGTCCTATGTTGGTTTCCCAGCTATCAGTCTTGGGTCCATAAACATTCCTTTCTTAAAAACTTATTTTAGAATGAATAGCTTTTTTCATAACAGTTATGTATGGCGTGCAATATTTATAAATTTTGTAACTCACAGACTCTAGACCAACATCTGGGGAGCCTGCATGGGACCAAACCAGGCCCTCTGCATGTAGATGAGAGTTTTGTAGCCTGGTCTGCTTTTGGGACCCCTGGGTGTGGGACCAGGATCTATCCCTAGTGCATGAGCTGGCTTTTGGAAGCCCATCCCATATAGTGGCATGCCTTGCTCAGCCTTGATGCAGAGTTAGGGATAGGGAGTAGGGGGAGGGGGGCATGGTATGAGGAATGGGAGTTTGGGGGAGGGCTTGGTCCTGCTTCTTCCAAATGTGCCAGGCTTTGTTGACTCCCCATGGGAGGTCTTATCCTTTCTGAGGTGTGGATGGGGGTGGGTTGGGGGGATGGGGAGGGGATGAGGGAAGGGAGGGAGAACTGTGGTTGGTATGTAAAATAAATTTTAAAAATTGGTTAATCGTTTGTTAAGGTATATGATATGGAAAGGTTAGGGAGAAGAAATTTTCTTCAAGCCAAACAGTTATTTCTATTGATGTTTTACATTTTTTGATGGTTTCAAACATTTATATAATGAATTTTAGTCATTTTTGCATGTTTCACCCTCATCTCATCTATCTTCCTTTCCCAGTGGAGTTTTCTTCTTGAGGCTTTCTCCTCCTTCTTCTATTATTATTAACTAAATGTATTCATTTATTTTACATCCAACCACAGCTGCCCTTCCCTCATCTCCTCCCATTCTCTTCCCCAATCCATTCCTCCTCTGTTTCTGTTCAGAAAGGGGTAGGGCCCCCCACAGGTGTCACAGCATGGCATATCAAATTGAGGTAGCCCTAAGCTCCTCCCCTTGTATTAAGGCTGGGCAAAACAATCCAGTATGAGGAGTAGATTCCAGTGGCTGAGAGATACTTAATTGTTCAACAACCTTAGCCATCAGGGACATGCAAATTAAAACAACTCTGGGATAACGTCTTACACCTGTCAGAATGGCTAAAATCAGTAACACTAGTGACAGCTTATGCTGGAGAGGATGTGGAGAAAGGGGAACACTCCTCCACTGCTGGTGGGAGTGCAAACTTGCACAGCCACTTTGGAAATCAGTATGGAAGTTTCTCAGAAAATTGGGAATCAGTCTGTCCCAAGACCCAGTTATGTCACTCTTGGGCATCCCAAAGGATGCTCAATCATACCACAAGGACACATGTTCAGCAATGTTCATCGCAGCATTGTTTGTAATAGCCAGAACCTGGAGACAAACTAGATGCCCCTCAACTGAAGAATGGATAGAGAAAATGTGGTACATTACATGATGGAGTACTATTCCTGCTTCACTTTTAAAATTTAAAATTGTATCCTTTGAGGATTTTATACATAAATACACTTTACTATCATCACGTCTACCCCAACCTCTCCTGAGTCTCCCCTGCCCCTTCTGAAATTAATATGTTTTTATTGTTTTATTATGCAGAGTCACCCCCACACAAGCAAACTCCTGAATTAGTGTTGCCCTTATGTATATGGGTTTGGGGCTGGCCACTTAAGGCTTGGAGACCTAATGAGGGCTCATGACTGCCTTTAGCTCTTCAACTAGAAGTGGGCTTATGAACCTTTCCTCCATCCATGTAGTCGTTAATCTAGTTTTAATTCATTTTAATTAAAATTAGATTTTGATCTAGGCGCTGAGAAGAAAAGCCTTAGGTGGTTATTGTTGTTAGCTGATAGCACCCAGAATCAACCAGGAGATAAATTTCTGGGCGCATCTGTGATGGATTTTCAAGATTAGCTGAACTGGAATAGGAAAACTAACCCTAAATATGGGCAGTATCATTCCATGCTTGGATAGAAATGATTTCAACACCAGCATTCTTTTTTTTTTCCTGACTGTGGGAGCTCTGTGGCCAACCACAAGATTAGCTGAACTGGAATAGGAAAACTAACCCTAAATATGGGCAGTATTATTCCATGGTTGGATAGAAATGATTTCAACACCAGCATTCTTTTTTTTTTCCTGACTATGGGAGCTCTGTGGCCAACCATTTCATGTTCCTGATGTTAGTATTCAGGCATCTGTACTGGGCAGCCCTAGGGGTTCTGACAGGATATGTCCTCAGCTGCAGCCACTAAGAGCACCACCTGGGCAATTCATTATGTTTCCTTTTAAAAGGGCCCTGCCCACACCCCCCTTTGTTCCTTTCTCTCTCTCTGCCTCCCTCTTCTCTTCCGCATTCCTGTTCCCAGAGGCTGGTCTCCCCTTTCCCCTCCCCCCTTCCCATTCACTTTCCCCCAATAAAAACCCCTCCATCCAAGCTCTGTCGAATGCCATCTTTTTAAACTTGCATCCCCTGCCACCATACCGCCTTACCTTGATTGACTATATTTACACACTGTGACCCAGAACAGCTCCTTTACCCCTTAAGTTGTTTAATCTTAGGTATTTGGAAGTACTTGTTTACAGCAATGAGGAAAGTAACTAATACAGACAGTACCTCAAAATAGCCAGAATGTTTCTTACATATTTTATAAAAAGATTCCTAGAGTGCTTAATTTTATAGGGAGTTTCACTGAACATGTGAGTCTTTGCTCTGGGCCATGTTTACTGACCTTTACGCTGACACTGCCTTGCAGTTTGAGCTGTAGTCGGATCATGTCCACCTCGTCTGTCGTGCACAGCTGGTTAAGCTCAGAGACCTTCCTGGACATCTCATCAATTGCCACCTCAATGGGATTCAGTTCTGTACTGGACTGGCTGATGACCTGGATCCGCTTCTTCACGTAGGGGAACAAGTGACTGGCTGTACAAAAGCCATGCAAGGATTTAAGGGTCAAAGGAAAGCTCCCATGGAGTCCTTTAGGATTCCCTATTGTCTCCAGCTACTTCCCCTGGTACCCCTTCCCACCCTCACAAGCTCACACTAATCTTCTAAGGGGTGTGTTAAGACTTAGAGCAGCCAAACCCTGAAAGGATTACAGCATGCACTGAAACTTGTCACTGAAATAAAATCCACACGGCCCTCTAGTAATGACTTCTCAGTATAGAGAACAGCATACAGGAGATTTGCTCTCGATGTGTTTTTACTACAATCCTCTGGGCCAGCTTCCTAAAGGTGAGGGCTTTTCATAGCTTAGAAGCCAGTTTGACTCTTGGGGGTTCAATTCAAAACTGGGGTCTCTCAAGTTGTCTTCTTCCAGAGAACCTTCACTCATTTCCCTCTGTGGGCTTAGCATCCTAGACCTATCTATGCCCCTACATTAAAAAAATTAATTTATTTTTTAATGTTGTCTTCTCTGGAAATTCTTCTTTTGCTGTGGTCTTTGTTCTACCCCACTGTGAGCACTGTGAGAGCATGTTCTTATTTTATTTACTTGAATTGCCAGGACCCGGGGGAGATCCAACCTTTAGTACGCACACAGTGTCTGTTAACAAAGGAAAGATGATGAGCTCACAGGATAGAGGCAGAGAGCATAGAAAAAGGTATACCTTCATTCTAGAGAAGAGCTGGAATCCTACAGTGAGCAGAATTTTGCCCTAAAACCTGTCATGCCAATATACTAACTCAGAAGCAGATAAGGGTAGACTCAGGGAGATGAGGGGAGAGTTTAGTGTCTGTCTTTAACATGCTGTGACACCATACCACTTGTGAATATCCCAGCTCAAGGGGAAGGATAGCAAACTATCTCTATTGACAGTGTCCTCCCAAGGCTCCTTTTTTCATTTTGTTGTCATTTTGAGGTGGAATCTGACTGTGTAGCTCAGGTTTGCTTTGAACTTAGGTGCCTCCCCCCCCCCTTTACTGGAATTTGAGTTGCTCACCACCACAGCTGGCTATGAGGCTTCCTGTTAGCAGATCATAAAGAGAGCCAATCTCCGGTTCCCCCAAACAGCTCTAGGTCAACACAATTTGGGAACTTACCTGCAGGACTGAAGTAACCTTATTTGTATGTACCTATGTGCAAGTGGGCCTGGGCATGTGCACGCGTGTGTTGGAGGTCAGATATCAAGACCAATATTACTCCTTAGAAGTCCGCTCCCTTGTTTCTGAGACAGTGCCTTTTATGAGATGGGGACTTGGGGCTCCCTCATTAGGCTAAACTGGCTGGCCAGAAAGTGGTAGGGACCCACCTGGCTTTGCCTGCCCAGTGCTGGGATTATCAACACCTGCCTGCATGCCTGGCTTTTTTGGTGGGCCCTAGGATGGAACTCGTGTTTTCATGATTGTACAACAAGCATTTTGCTAAGTGCACTGTCTCCCCAGCCCTTGCAGCAACACTTGACTTATGCTAATCCTGCCTAAAAGAAGACTGTCTTGGCCTCAGGTGGGGAAGGTTTCACCCTGCACTTACTGGTCAAGACTGTCCTCCGCTTGCATTGCTCCGCCACTCCACCGTGCTTCTTGCCCGACAGAGTGAACGGTGTCTCAAAGACAAAGCGATTGATGTTGTGATGCATTTCGAAATCTGTCTTCCGGTCCTCTATTTCCTTTTCTTCAAAGAATGGTGTGACATAGGTCACCTGAATATAGGCATATTTGGGGTCCAGATCCTTGGGGTTTACCTGTGTCAACACATTAAGGGTATAACAAGAGCAGTGATTTATGAGTTCCCATGCTGCCTCCTGGTGGATAAAAGGCACTTGTGCTCTTTAGATCACAGAAGACTGGCTGGCTGGCAGCGGGTAAGAAAGCCTGGCTCTGGTTAGAAACAGGGGCTAGAACTAGCTCACCATGCTGGAGCCAGATCGCCTTGTGGATCCTTTCAATACAGATGCCTGACTACGTCATTATTTAAAATTTTACTCTGTGTCCCTTCTGTAATGAGTCACTCCTGTGCACAGTGCAAGTTTCTTGGAAGCAGAAGTACCTCTCTTTGTCCCTCTGTCCTGCAGCCATGTACCTAGATTGATACCATTGACTTTGAAACAGTAATGCAAAGGAAGGCTCCTTGTCACCTTTAGCAGATGACCTGTTTGCCTGTTCAATGGCTGCAAATTCTTCTATTTTCATTGTTCACCTGTGTGTTGCATATGTGCACGTGAATAGGTATCCATGCATGTGTGGAGGCCTGGGAATCATCTTCTTTAGCTCTCCCACCTTATCCATTGAGGTAGGGTCTCTCAGTGAAGCCCAGAACTCACCTATTATAGGATTAGTCTTGTGTTTCAGTTTGCTCTAGGGAATCCTAGGCCTCTGCCCTTGGAGGCAGGAATTGCAGGTGAGCTGCCATGCCCAACTGGTATTTACATGGGTTTCTGAAGATTGTCTCATGTTTGGGGGGCGGTACTTGCTTTAATTAGTTTTAACTGATGAGCCACTTCCCCAGGCCTGAGGTTTTGTATTTGCCATATCTTGAATCCTTATCAATAATAAATCATTCTCCCCAACTTCTTTGCAATCTGCTTCGGTTCCTAAGGCTTACATATAGGAAGGAAACGGGCTGGACAGGAAATCTGAGCAGATTTCTCTGGCTCCCTTTGAGCTTGGGAAGGATGAGTCTCAGTCTGTTTCCTGAAGACATCTTGGGTTTTAGCCCTGCTTCTAATTTTCTCCATCTTTCTATCCATCCACTTCCTACCCAATTCCGGAAATTCCAGGAACATTTGAGTATGTTTTATAATGCTAATAGCATTTACATGGCAAGTTAGGCATAATTATAATCATTTTACTTATTAAAATGGAGGTTTAGGATGGATCACTAATGATTACCAGTGGATACATGCTAGTATAGTGGAAAGAAGACACAGGCTATTCCAATATCACAGCTCCCTTTTTTTTCTCATCCCTGTGTTTACTTTTTTCGTGTGGATGGACTGCTACTATAATAGTTTTGCCTCCTTTTATTAGGGAAGTAAACTGTATCTTTCAAGCTAAGAATGATGGATAAATTGTAATAACTTCTGCCTAGACCCATGAATTTTGTGTCAAACTCCTCCAAATATCGGTTTTGTAACTGAAAGCTGGGGAAAATGAGTTTGTTTTGTGGCTTAGTAGAACTCTATGCCATCAGTCAGAAACCAGTTTTCCCTCATGGTCAGACTCTGACCCAATCTGTCTTTCAAGGACTTGCCATTCTAATCACTAACCATTCTAAATGGTCCTTCCTGTTGGCATGGGTTGGGCTCTTCAGAATGCTCATAACTTTCAGTAGCACATCTTACCCTGCAATTGGTCTCTCAAAGATCACCTCCTCTAGGTAGCATTGCCCAAGCAAACTGAGCTATCTACAGCCCCATGCCCTGGACTTGGCCTGCACTGCTCGGTGATCTTTCTTCTGGTGCTCTACTGCATTCTATTTAGTCAACTATTCACACAAGTTTTTCCATACATTGGACTGAGAGGTTGAAAGAAGATTCTCTGTCCCAGCTCCTAGCTCTGGGTATGGCATGTGAGTAGATGCTTGCTAGAGACTGGCCAGCAAATGGTAATGCGTGAGAAGGTTGGGAGTAATTTAATGAAATGTGAGGCTTCCTGGAGCCAAGAAGAGGTTCTTTGGATTCTTTCAACTTAATACCATGCGATAGCAAGTCTGATTCTCTTAGACAGGACAGCTCTCTCAGAATGGTGTGGTTTGCAAAGGCCTCCTGGAGCCAGTAAACAAATATGTTCTACTTGCTTTTCCTTCATCTTCACTTCTGAGCTTAGCCACATTAACATTTCAGCTGCCATTCAAGTGCAAATGGATTATGGGAAAGTAGATTTGCTAAATCAAAGTTACTCATTTAAAGCTTATAGCGTTGTCAGAGAGATGGCCCAGTGCTTAAGAGTGCTTACTGCTCTTGCAGAGGACCTGGATTTGGCCAGCAGCATCCACGAGGTAGCTAATAACCACCTGTAACTCTAGTCCAGAGGATCCAGTGCCCTCTCCTGACGTCAGTGAACACTAGCACAAACATGGCATTCATAAATTCATGTAGATACAGACATATTAAAAAAATGATACCCCTTCCAAAGTCTTTGGGAGATCTCTGAGAGACCTGTCAGCTTAGGCTCCTTGTAGATATACTCTTTACCCTCCTCCTCTTCAAAGAATCCCTGGGGAGACACACAGCAAGTCACCTGCTTTATTAGCGAACTCCAGGAACAAATCACGTCAAGAAAAAAAAGCCATTTACTAAAAAAAATGGTCCAGTCGTTCAGTTGTCTGAAGCCATTGATTAGTAGCCTATGAAATTCAAATCAGAAAAAGGAGAAAGTAAAGAAAATAGAATATCATAACACAAACATATCCCAGCGAGGCAAAGGAATGTCAGACCATAGCCTACACACATCTTCTCTACTTGTAGAAAGCAGGAAGTGTTTGCTTGCATATAAATTGGAGGAAGAATGCCCTCTTGTGGTAGTCTTAAGTAGAACATGAAATTTTGAATAATGTTTGGCAATTTTTAGAACATGCATTACCATTTTAAGTTGTTTTCTATAAGTCTTTAAAAATATCACAGGTGACACCATATGACATGCAAGGCTACATAAATGTGTTACCACACATTTCCACAATACAATACAACACAAATATTGTTATAGTGACAGAAATTACACATGGTATGCTCCAATTACAGTTATTTAAAAATATCCACATTAATATGTCTTCAAAGAGGTTAAGGTACAAGCTAGTCACACATAACTTAATCACCCAGGTTTTAAATTCTTGAAAGGCTGGACTTTGCAGGACTAAAAATAACACCCATGCCATCATTTTTTAATTCCATAAGATCCCAGTGGGTTTTAGCCTTTATAAATTGGCTGGTTTAAAGCCAGGGAAAAAGAAGATCCCATTATCTGTAGATAACTAAGTGAGAAATTCCTTATAATTCATTCTCTCTGAAGAGACAGGAGCATGTCCCCTCCTGACCCTGTGGAATAGATATGGGCTCAGAATCCTAGATGAGCTCACAGTGAAGAACCTACATTATCTGTCTCTTGTGATTGCAGAGTTTACCCATGAAGAAATGGATTTTGAAGTTTGTAAAACTATTGAGTCCAAAAAGAAACAACACTATTTTTTTTTTTTTAAATTGTGTTTGCAGGGTTGGAGAGATGGCCCAGTGGTTAAAGCATTTGGCAGTGAGTATGAAGACTGGAATATCAATCCTTAGAACCCAGAGGTTAGGACTTCTAGTTCTAGAAGATGGAGACAGAGGGGCCTCCAAGGAAGCTGGCTAAGGAGACTAGCTGTATCAGTGGTCTCTGAGATCATGGATTGAGAGACTCTGCCTCACTGGATAAGGATGATTCTGTCTCCAGCCTCTACATGCATGAGCCTTCATGTGCACATAGATCCCCAACACATGTGTGCCCATACACATGCAAACATAACACCTATGCATGACAAATGCATACATACGAATGGCATACACCCAAATGCAAGAAAGAAAAAAATTAAATTTGACTAAAATATTCATTACTTGTGAAAAATTATGGACAAATGTCCCAATGCTGTGTATTTTTCTTGGATGGTATGAGGTAATCTAAGAATAATGATTTGGCTCACGATTGTCTGGTATCGAATACTTGAATATTCCTTATTCTTAGGGAAGTGTTGTTATTTACCCTGCGTTGAGAGCAGACCACAAAATATATAACAAAGTCCTCTCTAAGAGTTTTATTAGTAGAGAGTGGGAAGGGGAGAGAGAGCGGGTGTCACACAGCCTATCTGGAAGAAACGTGGCGAGAGAGGCAGAGAAGTGGAATGGCTGTGTAGACTTTTAAAGGTTGCTCTGCGCATGCGTATGGGGAGGGGGAGCTTATGTAGCCAAACTACGCATGCGCATAAATTACACAAGTCCCTGGAATGACTAGGCATTTTACCTGAATGCTGATAGGATATGTGCAACCGACCCCGGAAATGCTAACACCTGGGGTGTTAGCCTAAAGACTGGCGGCACATGTGTACCCGTGGGAACCCGGAGATGTTGGAAATCATTAAGTGTCACCATCACCAGCTCATCACGGTCATAGAGGGCTATAGGTGCGCAGAAGCCAATGCCCAGGATCCATGTCCCAGCTCTGTTGCTGTCAAGAAGGCACTGCCTGTCTGCTTGTTCAGTTTCCTAATTGACACTGGGTTTTCATGGCATGAGACAATGCATGCCCAGCTTTTGACATATTGTCTGGCCTTTAGGAAGGGGGCCACTGTATTTGCCCAATGAAGAAGTAGATGAGTGAAATTGTCTTTCAAGACACATGTCTCATGAAGGTATAAATAACTTGGCAAATGTCTCCTTGTTTTTTATTAAAAACTAATATTGTATAATTGTTTGATAAACATGCAAACCCAAGTAGCCGATTTTGAATACCTGGGTAGCCCTGAACTGCTAGAAGGTGGCCTATGATGTGGACAGCACAGAAAGCTAAAAAGCTGTTCCTGATCACTACCTAGACTCTACAGGAGTGAGAGAGGTCCGATTCTGTTCCCGGGATGCCCGCCTGCTCCGCTTCTTCCATTGCTGACTGTGGGCTTTTGCCTGATTTAAGGTCAGGGGTCAGCAGCAAAAACTGGCCGACTGACATATCAGAGGAGTTAGGACCTGAGAAGCCAAACACCAGAATTCCCAAAGCATCTCAGCCAAGCAACATTTACATTTTCAATAAGTTTCTGAATCCGGGGTCAGGAGGGAGTGGAGAGAAGCAGACCTTTGTTGTGTCCACTGTGACTTGGCGACCTTGATTGTAACCTGTGGTTTTCTTTCATGCCTACTCCTTGGTCTGTGGGATGGAGAGCACCAATTCAGCCATGTGTTAGAAGCCCCCAGGTGAAGTATCTGGCCCACAAAGGACCTTTCATGGGTATGAGCTATGACAGGGATCATGACAACCAAGGAAGGCTTCATGGTCTCAAATAGTTTGAATTCTGACTTGTCTGCAGAACTTGGAGCACTTTCATTGCTTCAGAATACAATTCCCAGTGTCTCTTGCATCAGAGCTGTGAATTTTCCTTAATACAACATATCTACTGATGATCATCACAATACTAGGGCAGCTGATTGGTGAGAAACAAATAATCCTTAGAACTTTTTTTCCTCTTGAAGTTTTCCTTTTGTGTGTGGTGCTGTATGTGTGATGAGTGATTGTGTGTGTGTGTGTGTGTGTGTGTGTGTGTGTGTGTGTGTGTGTGTGTGTGTGCTCGCGCATTCGCACACATGCATGTGGTGTATCACTACTGATAATTTTGAGACAGAAGTAAGAAGAAAGAGTAGCAGCAGAAGGAATGTGCTGTTTGTCAGGGTTTAAGAAAGATACCTCTTGGGCCAGACTAATGGCAGCTGTGGAAATGTTTGGAAGGGACGCTTACCTTTTTTGTCAAGGAAACCATTAAAGAGGGCAGCGGTCATTGAGCTGCAAGGCATGATCTGAGGGAGAGCTTCACTCTCAGACAAGCCCACGAGTCAACGATTTAGGAGTTGGGTGTGTGTGATGCAAACCAAGGGGGCAGGTTCCCACTTTTCCTTTAGTGTCCAGGTTGTGAATTGGCTGCATTTCCAGGCAGTGGGAAATGTGGCCTGTGCATGGCTACAGCTAGTTTCATTTTTTGTAAAGTTATTTCACAATGCAGTATATGCCTTAAATGTATTGCCATTCTGAAGCAGCACATTCTGGTTAATCAAGTAATTCGGGTCAGTAGAGTTAACTCACGGAGACTGTGAAACTTGAAGGCACTACATACTGATAAAAATCCACCTCAACGAACTGACAAATAAAATTATTGATTCTTTTCCAGACTATTTTTACAAGTTTTTCAGAATAATGAAATGCCCTTGGATCAGAACTGGGATGTCAAATATAACTGGCCCTGCTGTAATGTTAGAATGGTCCAAAGTTCACAAATAAAATAATGCAGTCCAAGAAGAATCAGTGCAGAAAATCAGAAAATGTTAGTAGTGGGCTAAATGCTTTGAAAGGAGAAAACTCAAGAATGAAAAAAAAAAAATGTTCCTGGTGAGTAGGAACTCACTGATTACTCATTGATTATGCTTAGTCTCTCTTTCTCATGGGGGTTTGTGTGTGTGTGTGTGTGTGTGTGTGTGTGTGTGG